ACATGCAGTTCCTTGAGTGTCCACTTGAGGGCTTGCTCCAGTAGTGAGTCGATTCCAATAGAGCCCCATGTGAGAATGTACAACTTTACTGCAGAAGGAAACGTGTTTAAAACCTGGTAAAAAGAAGAAAATATTATTTGCCGCTTTTCCCCTTCTGGGTTGCGGGGGGTCTGGAGTCGATCCTAGCTGTCATTGGGCGAGAGGCCGGGGTACACCCTGGCTGACATATAGAGACAGATAATCAGAAACACTTACTTTCACACCTACGGGTGATTTAGAGTCCCCAGTTAACCTAAGCATGTCTTTGGACTGTGGGAGGAAGCCAGAGAACCCACGCGGAGAACATGCAGACTCCACACAGAGAGGCTCCTGTCAGACCGGGATTTGAACCAGGATGCTCCTTGCTGTGAGTTAACAGCGCTAACCACTGCACCACCGTACCATTCCTTTTTATAAAGACAGTCCAAAGTCTTCTTAAGTTGAATTATTCAACAAAAATTGTTGGTGTTGCGTCTTAACCTGGCTTGTTACTTTTAGCTTTTCTCACATATTGATTTATCGGTGGTGATCCTCACATTATGTCGCATAAGTATCAGAATTAACGTTTCCTTTTCCCTTCAGAGAAGTCAGCGGGGCATTGTTGAGGAGAAGACGGATTATTTAAAGGGTCGATACTCCCTGCAGTAATGCTGACGAGTACAGGATTCAGATAGCCAGTTAAAAACTGATGTGTTTGTCATGCTAGCAGCATTCAACTCAAAGTTAAATGAGAGAACAATGTGTTGGGTGATGATGATGAACATTTATTCCAGGAAATGTAAAAATGTTTCAGAGGATCCAGTGAAACATCTGCAGCAGTTTGTGAGAAGAGAAGAACAAGACTTAGATAACTTCTCCCGCAGAGTGTGACGTCATCTATTGATTTTTGGACTCTTGTTTTAACCTGTAGATAAGCCTTTTGAAAGTCGCCATGTTGATGTTGCATTCTGGGGCGAGAGGGTGAAGACTTCGAGGAGTGCTAACATGTTAGTGCTAACATGCTAAGATTTCTGCCTTTTAAAAGGACGTTTTTTACATTCCCCTGTAACTTTGCTAAATGTTGCTTTGTGCTCATGATCGATTAACGTTTGGTCATTGTAACAAAGCATTGAGTAAGGTCTTTTACCTGCTTTTTGTAAGTATCTTTAGATAACATTTGTTATGAATTGGTGCTACACAAATGAAAACCGACTGATTGAAAAGTGAGTAAGACTCAATTAGGCCCCATATTAGCATACTCAACTTTACAGCAGAAATAAAACATTTTACAGCCTGGTACAGGCTAAGCCCTCATGTTGTCTGATCATTAATAACTTACAGTTGTAGTTGATCTCGACACATTTCTCGGCCTGTTGACGGAAGTCTGGCTGCATGTAAGCAAAGTTGCTGAAATCGTGTTCAGTGCCGTCGGTCCAATCATACACCAGATAATCTTCATAGTGCTAAAAGACAGAAAAGAGTTAAAGATTACTTTTCCTGCCATTTTAAAGGTTTTATTTCTTCAAACCAGTCCCATACTTCAAAAAAAATGTGCAGGCTTTAGCCAATTGCATCTTTATACGTCATCCATGCTACAACTCAGACCACATTTTTGTGAAGGCAGGGACCTCTAGTGGTTGTTTTAATAATAACAGGAAGAAAAGAAAAAGTCAGGTGAGGTGTAACTCAGTGATGAACACCATCTAGAGTGACAGTGGGGTGAGATTTCAGACACACTTCCACTCAGAATTCTTGTGTATAAGTCTGATGTGAAACCAAAAATCAAATGGGAACGGTTCCCTTCCTCCCAACAAACTTCCTATGTGGTACTATGGAGAGGGAGGACCTGTGTTGCTACCTTTCAAGACTTTAGAACACTTTATAATAAAGAACTTGAAGTACATCCAACAGTAAAAAAGCTGCACAGTTCCCCCCAAACTATCCCCTCAGTCCTCTGCTTTACTATAAACGGAGGTATTTGTTGCTCACGACTGTTAAGTTGAGTCCGATCCAGTAATGAGGCCTTCTAATGGCTGACTCTGAACATGGTGCACACCACCTGATCCAACTCCTGTTTGCTGTGGATCGACACCAAATGACCTCCGTATGTGTGGCAGGCTTTCTGAAATCAACAAAAATATGTACATAAAACAATCAACAACACATCGTCTGAGCAGCAGGACGACACATCTTATCTCATGGTTGCATTTGTGTCGTTTCTGTATCACCTCTGCATCTTCAAAGTTCAGATGTTGCGTCAGATAAAAAGCCTTCACGCAGCGGCTGGTGCCCATCTGCTCCCACTCCCCTCCACTGATTTTCTTTGCACACGGCACAGCTGGATTTTTTATTTGCACATTTCCTCAAGACCTCCTGTGGCTAGGACAGAGGGATGAAGTGTTGTCAGGTTTGTTGTTGTTTTTGTTTGTTATTTTGTGACTCTCGCGTTCTTACCGGCTGCAGATACTGACAAGAACGTCAGCGCCACCAGAAGAAGAACGACAACAGGACGCATGGCTCGCGATCCGCTGACTCTCACAAGGCTGAACAACTGGAATATCAGCTGAGGACATCACACAAACGACCTCATTTATTCATTTCAAGTTTTAGAAAATGTGGATTCTTTAGTTTTCTGATGCTGTAAGAATAATTAGGTAACACATTCATACATATTTAGAGTTCTAAGATTTGTTGACTTAACTTCAGTTTTCTTACAACTTATTAAAGGTCACATATTCTCCTCCTCCTCAGTGTAAACAAGTCTCAGCGCTCCTCAAAACATGTGTGTGAAGTTCTAATTGGAATGTTCTAAATCCACTCTGATCCTGTATTTGATCATGTCTATAAACCCCTCTATTTCAGCCCTGCTCAGAACAGGCTGTTTCTGTGTCTGTACCTTTAAATATGTAAATGAGCTGTGTCTGACCACGCCCCCACTCTGGAAGGGCTTGGGTGTCTCACCGTAAACAATGTCCTATTGTTTACGGTGAGAAGGCAGACTCAGAGGGCAGAACACACACCTAGCTGTGGGAGTGTCACCCACCTGGGGGAGGAGTTACTGCCCTTTGTGATGTCATAAAGGGAAAATCTCCAAAACGGCCTGTTTGAGCACACATTTTCTGAAAAGTGGAGCAGGGAAAAGGAGAGGATGGACTTTTCTCATCATTGGGGGGTTTCCAGACAGACTAGGGACACATTAGTATTTCAAAAACATGGTGAAGGGTATTTTGATATGTGACCTTTAACATCTGTACTTTTGACTCCTTACATTTCAAAAACAGGCTCGTAATCTTGATGCACTCGACACCATTTGATGTTTATTGCATCTCTGTGCACATCCTTCCAAACATCAGAACTGATTCTATCCTAAATGGATGGACGATACGCTCTGCAGAGGTGTGTCCAGAGGGGTGGAATGGGCCACCCTAGAAATGTGATCAGACATCCACAAAAATCATAAACTGTAGGTTAGAAAGGATGAATAATTATATTTATCATAATAGATAAACCGCTGCATAGTCAGTTCCCGAGTTGGGCCACCCCAGTCAAACAAGTCTGGACACGCCCCTGCTCCTCTGTGATCAGTACATAACATACACTAAGAGGCAAAATAAAGCAAAAAAAAGTTAGACATTCTTAATATAGAAGACACAACTTGTAGCACATGGATGCAAACATTGCTGGGGAAGTCGAGGCATATTCAGAGCACATTCCTGTTCTCACTGATTGACACTTTGTAGTAAAAACAATGTTAATTATTTTGATTACATCGATTTAAAAAAAATAATCTTTTAAGTTTGAATGTTTTAGAATAAACTTTGCACATTTAATAAATGAGACAGCTGCATATGAGAGGAATAAGTCCATCATAAATTACATGTAAGCTCCGTCTGACTTGCAGAAATATATTTAGAACAAAAAGAGACGACTCACCACGAGTTCGCTGGTCTTCTTCCACCCTGAATACATGTCAGTCTGAATGTTTAAACAATGAATTTGGATCAGAAACTCTGAATGTCCTGATCATGTCAGATCAGGTGTTTTTATTCCTCTCTTCTCCTGAGGCTGATTCAGAGCCTCTGAGGACACGTCTCCTGTGTTTGCTGTGGAAACACTTCAGGAGGAGATTAACAGAGTCATTAAACCCCGAGGAATATGGCTCCTTTTATTGTTTTATTAAAGGGTTGCACAAAGTTAGATTAGTGAAATATTTTATTTAAATCTTAGTATAATGATCCTCAACATGTGTGCTTTAAATTAGGTGTTTAATTCTCCCACCATGACTGAATAAATAAAAGGTGTTGGTCTGTGACAATCATGTTTTTGTTAGAGTCACTGTGAGGGCTGCCAGCATTAACCAGTAAATCTTTAAGGTCTGAAATTAATGTATTTATTCTTTAAATCGTGAAAAATTTGGCTTCTTTCTCTTTTTACAAAGAAGAGCATCAGCGTGTGTACCTCACCCAGCAGGTACACACGTTTTTGGTTGTTGTTTATTGACTTAAATCCTTTTTGTGTGTTTGTGATGAGGGGGAAGAAAGTGTCACTGACGTCCTTGCACACTCCACGGGTATAGTTCAAAGATGCAGCTCTGTTTCCACCTCCTGTTGGGTGCAATGGGTTCAGAGTCTCTCTGTGGCGTCCTCGATGGCAAGGCTGTGCTCACTGAGTTTGCACATTGTCAAACATGTACTCAGTTTTAGACCAGTCTCAGTGTTCAGATATTCTGCCACTGTGTAAACTCTATTTAGGGCCAGATAATCTAATTTGCTCTGTTTTTTTTTTTTTTTTTTTGGTTGATTCTTTCTAATGTGTTACGCAGTTTTCTTTCAGTCTGAGGGCTGGGGCAGCTCTCTGTAGTCTCTCTGGAGGTCAGGTCTCTCAAATGAAATCGATCTACACTGGCTCCATCTGGCGGTTGTTGTCGTGTACTACGTGCGTCCCTCCCTTTGACCGCCACATTTTACGACAGTACCAGCGTCTTTGCGGCAGCCAGCCACTTCCCACAACATCAGACATCATGGCAGCTGCGTCGCAGTGCACCGGCGGCGCTGAGGAGGTTTTAACGGAGGAACAGGGGAGCTCAGCGGCGGGGGAAGACAGCGGGGCGCCGGGTGCTGGAGCCCGGGATAAACCCGTGTGTCTCATCGTGCTGGGCATGGCGGGCTCCGGGAAAACCACCTTCGTTCAGGTAAGTTAGGCAGCGTGGCTAACAGGAGCTAGCCACATGGGTTAGCTTCTCCAGGCTGAGAAAGTTATGTTGCTTTTTATTAATAAATATAAGAACTCGTTATAAACTGATATAAATGTTGGTTTTAAACTGTTTCCCCTCTAAATCAATGCGCACACTGTTGCTAATAGCAACGCACTTCTGTAGTTTAGTAGCTTTAATTTGTCGAGTCACTTCTTAATTTAGGAGGATAAAATTACATTAATTTACTTCGTTTATAGATTAATGTTTGTTAAATAAATAATTTAAATTATTTAATGTGGTTGTATGTTGGTGTGACGCGGTTATGTGTTTGACAGATGTTACAGGTGAATCCATCCGCTGTGGGAAATAGTCCCAAACAAAAACCCTGTTTTATTTAAGTAATTATATTCATAACAATAACAATAACTTTATTTATATAGCAGAGCTGTTTACAAAGTGCTTTGACTGACTAAAAAAAGGCAAAAAGTCAGGACAACAACACAGGGAACTGGGAACTGGAGGGTCGCCGGTTCAAATCCTGGTGTGGACCAAATCTGGAAATTGGTGTGGCAGCTGGAGAGATGCCAGATCACTTCCTGAGCACTGCCAAGCTGCTGAATCCCCCCCTCCTCCTCCAGCCAGCCAAGAAGTGCTCTGTGTTTATGTCTCCGTTAGTGCATGTCCACAGCATCCTGTTTGTGCGTGTGTGTGTGTATTTCAGCCTATCGGTGTGTAGCATGTTCAACAACAGAGTGTAAAATGGAAAACAACATTTTAATTGATTTGCGTGTGTGTGTGCCCACAAAGTCAGCTCCAGGTGGGCCGCCCCAGTATAAATGGTGATGTAACCTCCAGCTACAGAATCTCTGTTTCATACTAAAGTGTTTTCTCTGTTGGTTTCCTTTAGAGGCTGACAGCTCACCTTCACAATCTCAAAGCTCCTCCCTACGTCATCAACCTGGACCCGGCCGTCCATGAAGTCCCGTTTCCTGCTAACATCGGTGAGGGCCTGTCTATTTGCTGGACTTTTTAATAACCATGCCTGTAGTTTCAGACATTCCTTATTCACATCAGTCAGCGGAAGCAGACGGTCAGTGTTGAGTTTTTTTTGTCCCTGCTGCTCTCCTCAGACATCAGGGACACGGTGAACTACAAGGAGGTGATGAAGCAGTACGGCCTCGGACCAAACGGAGGCATCGTGACGTCACTCAACCTGTTCGCTACACGCTTCGATCAGGTCAGTGAGTTCACTGATTTCAACAGCGTTGAAGTGCAGAATGAACGAAACCAAGACCGTAACTTTAAAAATACAGAATTCAAAATAAATAATTTAAACCAAAGCTCTGTTAAAGTGTTGAAGCCACCAGAAGATTTGGTTTCAACTGCGTCATATTTCACAGAAAAAAGGTTTCAGCAAGCACTGCACTGGGTCATAAATGTCGAGGAATCAGACGCTCTTCAAGAACAAAATAAAAAGCTGATAAATAAAATGACTGTCCTGATTACAAACAAAGTTCACTGTGAAGAAAAGGCCGACTAAACTGAAAGTCCGAGGCACTCTGAGGGACTTTAAAAACCTTTTATGAAACAGGGATGTGTCTGTGTGTGTCCCGATGAAGACTCAGGTCAGGAATAAAAGCTAAATAATATGATATTTGCATCATGTTTAAGTTGACTTAAATGTAAGATTTGTTTTAAACAAAGGCTCTGAAAAATATTCAACCAAATAAATAAATTGGCAAAGCGGGACGCTGGATAATGCTTCAGATTCCGAGATGAGACCTTCAAAAAAGGGTCTTGAGGACTTGATTTCGAGTACTAGATCACTAGGATGAGGTCACATGAGAGTTTTAATCCAATAGGGGGGGTTAGGGTTAGGCTGAGGTGAGGACAGGGGGTGCATTCCATTTACCTCGGAAGTCGGATGTTGGTGCTGGGAATGATGTCATGAAGAGTTGGGAACCAGTCCTCTGTTGTGTTAGATAAACCAGGCGATAACAACACTGTGTGATCGTCTGCGCCAAAGACGACAACACTATACCACATTTCTAATAAACACTTTAATGTGCAGATTAGACTTTACTGTTGACGCGTGGAGCAGCCATGAATGTTGGCGTCCTCTTCTGGATTTTTATGAAACTGTGATGTGTTTGTGTTGTTCAGGTGATGCAGTTCATTGAGAAGAAGCAGCAGAATCACAGGTCGGTGTCTTTAAATCGTCGCATATAAAAAAAGTGACTCTCTGTTCAGCTCTTCTTGAGGGGTTTTGTGTCTGATGGCGTTTTAATCTCTGCAGGTACGTGCTGATTGACACCCCGGGTCAGATCGAGGTCTTCACCTGGTCGGCGTCTGGAACCATCATCACAGAGACTCTGGTGGGTCTGCGCTCTCGGGTTTGTGTTTGCTTTCCTTTTCTGAGTGATGTCACAGTCTGATTATTCTCCACGTGTGTGTCCCAGGCGTCGTCTTCCCCTGCGTGGTCATTTACGTGATGGACACGTCCCGCAGCGT